TTTTAGGTTGTGAATATATTTCCACATGGGTATCAGTTAAATATGTTTGGTTAGAACACTATGACTCTAGAATTACCTGTATTATGAAGACAAATCTTTTACAAGTAAACGAACGACAGTAAGATATAAAACTGTAAAGGCGGCAAAGCTGTACTTGTGATAAAGCTAACAATGCTACATCCAAAATAATCACCCTAAGTGGAATCTTGCCCCAAGTCTTCTACAGAATTCCCCCCATTTCAGTAGAATAAACATTTAATTCTATGTACGAATCTGAGTTTTCATGTTTGGAAAAAAAAAAAAAAAAAAAGAAAGAAAAATACTGTGGTATTCTGCAAAAGTAGTTTTCCTAGTCTCCTCTCAAGAAAAACAACAACAAAAGCTCTTAAGCGATACAGAATATTTATCTTTCTCAGTAATTTTGTATGCTACCAAGTGACAGAACTGACCCAGTGCTAATGGCTATTCCAGAGAACAAAGTAAAATCAAATGCAAGGCTCTTGGATATCCATTTCCAAAGAAAATTAGCTGCATTTCTTACAAAAGTACGTATTTTTATAAATATATTTCACCATGAGCAACTTAATTACTTTAGTTCATTAAATGAAATGTGCTGCAAATATTTGTATGCACATTAATATGTACGATCTCTTATTTAGATAAAGTAATACATCAAGCACCTAACTACCCTAAGCTATACTACAAGCATGCATATCGGGCCTTGCAAAAAGAGTGCATTCTTTTCATTATAAAACTTTAAATAAATATTAACATCTTTGTTAAAAAGTAAACCAGTGCATTACTAATGTGATTGTCTACATTTTATCATGCACCGACTAGTTATCAGTATTTTATTTTGTCCAGTAAACACAATACTCTAAATATTCAGCAAGATCTTCCAAAACTACCAAGAAATTATGCCAGGCATTTTTTTTGCTCAAGGATGGCTTAAGCAAAATAAAAATAAAAACTGGTTAAGAGGCGGGCAAATTCATGCTATGCCTCTTTGGAAGACTTTGTAGTTCCAGTCTCTAGAATATCGCAAAAAACAAGTGAACCACAGGACAGCTTACTGAACTGAAAATAAGTTGAAGGAGACAGGATGAAGGAAAGGAGACATGAACTGTGAAGAATACATAAGCTTAAGGAACTAGAAAAAAATAAAGACAGAAAAAGAGGTCAAACAAAGTATTCCAAGCACAACCCCCAGTTTCGTCTGTACTTGTTATCAAAAGTCCATTCACCTCCGAGAGGTGCAAATGATATTCACCTCATTAGCCCCATTCGAAATCCAGGCAAATATTTCTTATTTTTGTAATCAAAGGGTTTTATTTCCAACAAACTTCATCATGGTAAACATTCTATTGAGTCGCTCACTAAAGAATTCAGTTGATTATATACACACAAAAATATATGTGTATTGAAATCCCACTTCCATTAACAATAATTCTAGGCCCTATAGTTGCAAAATGAAATTTAAGCACAACAATTTTCTCAAAACAACTAGTGGCATCTACCAGCATCTGCAGGAGACTGAAAGAACAACTCTGAAAAGTGTGAGCCATATCTATTCATTTCAAAAAAGGGAGAAGGATACAGTCTTCATAGTATTTGACATTTTTCTCAAATACCCTATGCGAGTATTCTTAATGCCAGGCTCCCAATTTAATTTTCCCCAGTAAATTTCTTTTCCCCATTTTCATTGCCAGCCAGTACATGACTGAAGCTACATCCTGCTCTTCCTCACAAGAAAGAGTTAACTGGACTAGAGCGCGTTCCCTCTGTCTTTCAGAGCCAGGCAGCTGGCAGAAGCACTGGAGATGGAGTCCAGTTTTCAGGAAAGATATAGGCAAGCCAGGAGTATGGGCTGGCAAGCTCAGCTGTTCGGAAAAAAAAGTGTACAATTGAAGACTAAGAGCTCAGAAAAGGAGTTAATGAAGCAGGTTACACATTCTAGGCACACGCCATCCAAGTGGTGGAAGGAAACTGTCAGCTGGTCCACCTGGAAAATTCTATGGGCATGAAAGGCCCACAGAATGCATGATGGATTCAGTCAGTGGAAAATAGTGGGAAAACAACAAAAGGGAAAAAAACAAGAGGGAAAAAAGGAAAAAAAAAAGAAAAAAAAACACGCTTTATCCTTTTAAATTTTCAGTGTGTGTGGACAAAATAAATAAGTAGTACTGATGAATATATCCAATTAAGAAAAAAAACCCAAATGAAATAGATGAAAGAAGACAGGTTCTCAATAAAATTATATTAATTTAGCTTCAAAATTTACAAATTGGGCATTTGCCCCATAGTTACTTCAAAACAAAGCCACTTCCACAAATAACAAAGACAACTGTATTCTACTTTTAAAAGTTGTGTTCTGTTGTGCTTTGTATGTGACCAGATATATTAATGGTAGTGCTAAACGTAATAAAAGTCTCAAACTCATAATTACTTGCAGATGGACTTTTTTTATTCACAAAACTAGTAATTCTCAGTCTGTTGCAGAACCAACAGCTTACATTAAAAGACACTTACAAGTAACTCACGCATTTCTTGTTAATTGAATTCCAGTAGGATTCTGTATAAGAGAACAGGACTCAACAGAAACTAAAATTAATATATATTCATAAGGTCAGAAGCATTCTGAGCAGAGATAAAGTCATGAGGCATGCCTGGTATGTTTCCTCCTCTCCCTGGCACTACACAGCCCTACTGCAGTTACCTGTTGCCTTTTGACTTCCTTCAAAAGACACGTAACTCTTCTTCAAACCAAAGATGAAGGTTCAGATTTAGAAAAATACATGGGTAGCTATCCATAGGTACCAGATACTCATTGATCCTGGTGGAAGGTAAGCAGCAGGTAACTAAGTACTTTTGAAGAAATGGACCTAAGTTTAAACACAAAGCTAGGGACAAACTCACCCCCTCTCCCTCAAATTAGAAGCTAATATTCTGACAAGAGAACTGCCTCAGGAATCCCCGCTTAAGGACCAACTCTTCAGATGTAATTTGGCACTAAATGGAATCCACTTAAGTTTTCCAACATAGTCATATATCCAAAAAGTCAACAGCAAAAGACATACACAGAACATAACAGAGTAGTTTCTCTTTTCTGATGGATGTGATACTAATAAAGTCAACTCTGATAAAAAACAACTGTCCCAGCATCCACTATCCTACAAGTATTCCAACAGTGACATCCGTTTCCTCTGTTTGAATCACTACAGTTCTTGAAAATAAATTTGGTCTAGACAAGGAAAAGAAGCAAATGACATACAAAGAAACTCTCACTTGTAGCTAATACAGGATAGGATTAACTCTTCCTTTAACCTGATGAAGAAACTTTTATAGGTAACAAAAAACCTCCTATTAGACTGTAAAATTGTTTACAGACCACACCTAATCCAAAAATAACACTAACTTTTATGGTCACAGCATTTATTTTTAAAACACTTGGCAAAAATAAAGTATGTTTTAAAGTAGAAGGGCAACTGGATCATAACAGCTCTAACAGCTTCTGCTTGTTCATACTTTTAACTCCTTTCAAAGCATCTAATGCTGCAATGATTTGCCAACCCTAGAAGCCAAACTATATCCAATAACAACACATCAAAGTTCTTGGCTGACAGGTACTCACTAGTTCTATTCTCACACCAAAACATTTACAACCTCAAATATCTCAATACTACTGTAAATAATAAGTATCTTGTAACACAACATACTTCAAAAGCAATTTTTACTAGTGCTTTTCACACGCATGTACACATGGCGTCCTGCTTGATCTCTGCCAGAGCAGCACTTCCTTTCTTTAGAGCTCCTCAGAGCGCCATAGTTTGGAACTATGGATTCCCAACACCAATGTGAAGTCATTGATAACTCAGAAAGAATGAAAAACAAAAGAAAAGAGATCTTTAAAGTACGTAATATGAGTAAAAATGATAAACAGAGTACAGGGATGCCCATTACTGAGCAGTGTAACAGCTGTCATTACAAGCTGCTGACACACTGGTGTATTTACCCAGCTATCCACAGGCTGAGAGTTATCCATACCTATGTGAACAAAAGAGGTACTCCCCTATAAAGGGCTGAAATATTGGGAGGAAAAAAAGAGACTTCCCCCCGGCTCCAGTAGTATTATTTTCATGATTACATCGCTGCGCACTTGACAAAAGTGTTACTCTCTAGCATTGCAGTAGTGGGCATCAATCCAGGCAAAACTATGACTAAAATAAAAAACACACGCTCCAAAAACCCACAGGCAGTTGGTTATTCCTGTATTTTTGCAACTGGAACTGTGATATATTTTACAAATTATAAGCTATATATTTTTTTAATCTGCAAAATCTTGCATCAGTAAAATTATACTGAAAACTTTCTACCAATCACAGCTTTCAATAAACACATTAAGACACGTAAAAATGTTCATTCTCTGGTTGGAATCCAAAAAATATTCTAGCTATCAAATAACATTTCAGCTTTACTAGAAAAATTTTACCTACCCAAATTTGGAACTGTTAAAAATAATGCAGAAATAATACAAAATAGCCCATTTGGTTTGTAGACATTATGTGACTCATATTGTTCTTAAGTTATATACCATACATACTAATAGTGGCACTGGAATCTTTTTAACCAAGCAAATTGTTCAAAAATTGGGTTTAGGACTGTGCCTTACAGTAGAAGGAACCTTTATGCTTCTGAATGCAAAGCTGGGAAACTGCATTTACAGTGATTCTAGTATAATTTTCCAGGAACCTCCAGTCTAGATATGATTCTCCCTATATAACCACCTGCAAATACCTCTCTGACATTATAAATACTGCACTGTGGGCAGATACAAGCATTTGGCATGCTTCAGGCCACATGACTGCCTCCAGTGTAAAAGAAAGAAGACATTTTTATCAAGGTTGCTAGTGAAGGAAAGAGCGGCTTTCTTGAGAAAGCAAAACATACAAGAGAAGAGAAGAGCAATGCACAGATGCAATGCTCAGCTTCAAAACACTTACATTTGCAGCATGACTTCGTTCAGAAACACACCGTCCACTAGCGCCACATATTCTTCCAGGTTGGTCCCATTTCCTCCAGCTAACGGTCCAAATGTCTTAACCTAAAATATAATCATTGCCACTGTGACACTAACTCCACCTTATTCTCTGCAACAAGGCGTTTATCCTTAAGCAATAAGCAAGTAAATGAATAATGTGTAAAAAAAATGCTTACCCAGGTGACAAGAGGGCTAGACATAAACTGCTCCAAAAGGGGCGTGAATATTTCGTTCTCCATTTTACAAAAAAAAGGTTAACATCAATGCAGATCCTCTGAAGCAAAAAATACGAAGAGTCCTTCACTGTAGCACCTCTCTAAAACACTCAAAAGATTTGGCTGGAGCAAAGGAACCCCATTTTTACAAGGCAACGCAGCAGCAACAAGAAAGTGCGTGGCAACTAGGATCTATCTTCTTCTTTCCGTACCAAAAAAAAACAAAAGGAAATTTAAAACACACTCTCAATGTTTT